TTTTTCGGTGACATGTCAAAACGCCTTTAGTTTTTCAATTCCAAAGAGTCATTTTACCTAATAAGTTGTTGTCAATAAAAATACTGGAAACACCAACATCAGAGAAGAGCATGAGTTCCCTGTGCAGTATCTCTGTTTACTGTTGATGAGGAGGGATTTGGGGCAAGAGTCCTGAGAACACCAGCAGTTCTTCTAGGACCTGGACAACTCGGAGGCATCCCAGAGAAATATAGAAGACATTGCTCCCTTTTTGCTTGGTGCCTGTACAGATCTGTTCCCTGAGGAATGTACAGTACATTCAGCTATACTGCTGCAGTTGTTTGTGTGCTACTGTATGCAGACAGACTGGGCAGCAAGCCACTTTCATAACAGATGTGGGCTCAGTGGGTTTGTAACAGCACTTCACAAGCTTGTGTTTATGTGGACACTAGCCTGTACATTTTACATTTCAAACTGTGGAACTTTTTAAATTGCACCCTTCAGTTTTACTCTGTCGTTTTGTTCTAGTGACAATGGCTGGCAGGGATCATAAGTGGGAAGCCCTGGTTCATTGCAAGTGATGCCCACTGGTTGTACTGTTTCCTGCACAGGATAAAAAAGGGATAGTGTGCACTTCCACTTAAGCAGCCTTTCTTAGTGAAGTTCTTGACCGACGGGTAAATCAGAAGAGGCTGGCTGCAGCATGTGTGTCAAAGGAAGCACATTGCTGTCTGCACCCACTCCGCAAGAAGATCTGGAACTGGGAATTCAAAATTAATGAGAAAAGGTGGAAATAAAAGTGACTTTTTTATTCTCTCATTTTCAAAATAGATGATACTCATAACATAAGTTTGATAAGAAAAGAAAATTAATTTGAATGTCTGTGTTAATGAAGGCTAACTACTGTCTTTGACAGGAGGGTAAGAAAAGGTTCACTATCACATGTAGGCGAGAGTGAATTTAGGCATTTAGTTTTGGTGTGATTTTCTGTTTTGGGATATTTATCAATTATATTCATAAGCAAACATATAGTTTTGAACGTAGCCTATAAGACAGGGAGGACATGTGCATTAGATTTTTTGTTCACTTTTATTTGTTTGATTGGTGAAGCTTGATGAACATATTTCCAGATTCATGAATCTCTTTACATAGTTGTGTATTTCTGCTAGCCACAAGGGGGCGTCATCACATTAGAATATATCGTGTCTGTTCACATGTAACAATCAGCGGACTGGAATATGAGGTTGCAGAGTATTATGTCAATATTCTCATATCAATCACTCACCAAATCTTCTCTCAGAAAATCATCATTAACTCAGATAAGAACAGGAGAACATCATTCATATGTGAACAGTTTATTGTTGATTATTGAGACAGTGCGAGACAAAGGATTTAACAGTAAACAAATACTGCTCATACTGTCAGAGATGTAAGTATATGACACACCTTGTATTCTCTCTTAGGCACACAGTACACCCTCAAACTTGACTCATCTGCAATATTTCCATCAACATCATGTGCCCTCTTGGAGGCAGTAAAGAAATAGTAGTTCTATTCCTAGTACTTGAGTGGGATTATTGTAATGAGGATTTCTCCACCAGTGGTTTTCACATTCATTACAACCTAATGCTGGCTATGGCGTGGGAGTGAGATGGGATGAGGTGTTAAATGGCTCCAGGATATATAAATAAATAAATACCGTAAGAAAAAACAAAAAGGAACATAAAAGGTTGTGCAAAAAACATCAATTAAAGTGGCAGTGTCTTATAGAACCTGTAACCCTAGGACCTTAAGCCTTCTTCACAACTTAACCTTTTGTAGTCAAAGCTAAATTGTTATATTGGTCCCAAAGTGGTTTGTCTTTTATTTTATAATTCAGAATGTGTTATTAATGTAGTATGATTTGGTCCTTGATCATAAAACATTTTCTTCACATTAAAGTAATTCTTTGCTGTTACTCTTTGCATTGTCAAATGAATTAAGCCAATATCATTGCCATTACCTGACAATACCTCATATTATTTTATATTTCTTGGAATGTTTTGTGTGGCTGAATACATTCTACCTCCGGTAAATATTTCTGTCAACAATCAGATGTGATGTTATGTCATGGCCACAGAAAGTCACAACTTGGTCTGCTATGGTATTTTACATATGTTTTGTATTTCAGCCAGCAGCTTGGACTAGATAGAAGGGAGGTCATTAGCTGGAACAGACATAATGGTTAGCTATTTCAAGACCTTTAAATGGGGCTGATCACTAATGCTCTGAACCCAGACCTTAAAAAGGTCAGAGATTGCCCATTTTCTAAAAACCAACCATGTCATTGTCCTTTCAAACACACCAATTAACATCAAGGAACTCTCAGGCCGCTCTATTAGTAGCAGGACTTGGATTTCAATGTGGAACTTTGCTGCAAAGCTCATTGCTGAGCTGATGCAATTTAGGCTGTTGGAGTGCCTTGTGGAGTGTGGGTGCCAGTCCTTTTCCTCTTTGAGATTATTATCTTTCAGGCACTCTGAAGTCAGCATTTAGTCAGAATTCTCTGACCTCCAGCCTTTAGTTTGTCCCCTCCCGGTTACAGTACACATATGTGTGGCGGTGTATAGGTATGATCATGCATAATTGTAACCATCAGAGGTAATGACTGCACCTAACAAGTCTTTGGAAAGCTTTTTTGAAGTCTTCATTAAAGATGGTGTAGATTAGGGGGTTTATCAGTGAGTTGAGGTAGCCTAACCATGTAAGAAAATCAGCCATCTCCATTGAAGTACTGCACGAACTGCACGTGTTGACGATCACCTCCTTGACGAAAAATGGCAACCAACAGATGACAAAGGCCCCTATTATCAACCCCAACGTGGATGCTGCTTTGCGCTCCCTCGAGCCTGAGATCCGTGGCCCTTGGTAAAACTGGCTCCGACGTGACTCACTATGTGACTCATGCCGGCGTGACTTGCACTTGAAAGCCTTTACTGATGCGCGCACACGTTCACGTGGAGGTTCCTCCGTTGAGGGTTCAGAGAACGACTTTTCTGGTGGGCTTATGGGCTCTGGACTTCGAGGTCCCCCGTCGCCGACGTCATCTCCAGCAGGGTAGGATGACGGAATCATGCTCCCATTGGTCATACATGAGTGGCGGCTAGCCCGGCTGGCTTCCCTGCGCATATAGAGGGTTTGAGCAGCCCGGTAGATTTTGTAATAGAGGATGAGGATGAGAAGCAAGGGGATGTAAAACGCTCCGAGGGTGGAGTACAAGGTGAAGGCCATGTGATGGTGGATGATGATGCATTGGTCTTCCTGCTCTGCATCCTCACTATAGTGCCGCCATAGTAGAGGAGGAAGTGAGATGAGGATGGACAAGAGCCACACCACAGCCACCATCGCTCCAGCCCTGGCCCCCGTGCGTTTGCGAGAGTACTCCACTGCGTCAGTAATGGCCCTGTAACGGTCGATGGCGATTGCAGCAAGATGTAGGATGGAGCATGTGCAACAAGTGATATCCACACTTAACCAGATGGTACACACCACTTGGCCCATAACCCAGGTCTCTTTTTGGATGTACATGATACTGAAGGGCATGACCAGCACAGCCACCAGCAGGTCGGTCACTGCTAAGGAGCAAATGAGGTAGTTGGCTGGGTGATGCAACTTGCGGGTGACTGCAATAGCTGTGATCACCAGGCAGTTGAAGAATGTAGTCAGGATAGCCACTACAGAGAGGGTCACCGTGAGCAGGACCTTGCTGGGAGGGAGTTTAGTGGTCTCCAGGGAGTCGTTACCACTGCTGTTTGTGGCAAACACCCCTTCAGTGCAATTGGGGAAATCCATTCTGAAAGAGAGTTGTGCATTAGACATAAAAGGAGCTTAAGGAAATAGTATTTTCAAAAATTCATTTTCAGAGGAAGACAAATAATTTAGAGTCAATATTTTTTTGTGACTGCTGTGTATATTATTTGTTGTTATTTAATATGATTCTAGGACTCTAGGATGGAATTCAATCACCCAACATTTAGTGCTATAAAATTCACATTGCAAGAATTGTAATATTCTCCCCCCTCTCTTCTCTTTTCAGACATTCATAGCCAATGATTTCTTTTGCTTTCTGCACTTCATACATAAAACATGTCAAAGTTTTTATTCAAAGTATGCTTTTAAAGATAATGGACTTCACAGGCTGTGTTCAAGGTCTTGCCCACAGAATTTTTCCTAAAAGACTAAAAGTAAAAATCTAGGAATCCTACCTGTCTAGGCTCTAACGTGTTGCATCCGGTGGGTTCAGTGTGCAGCAGAGAGTCTGCTCTGATCTGTCCCGCCTGTTAGCTCTGCCATCACATCACCGCTGTCACTCATCAACACCTGGGATAAAGAGAGAGAGGGAGAGGGAACAAAAGAGAGAAATAGTGAGAAAGAGAGAGAGAAAAAGGAAGGGACGTAAGATTGAAGACCGAAAGGACTTACTTAAAGCAACAGTACAAAGTAAATTGAAAGTACAGCCAAGGACGAACACACTTACACAAGATTAAAAATCACTGCAGATGCAGTTAATGCTTTTTCTATTGTTTGCATGAAGGTTGTTAAGCAGCTGATCAATTGAGTATTCACCTGTGTGACTTCTGCTCTTCCATTCACGTCAGTCAAGTAACATAATTCATTGGCTTGGTTATTAATATGAAAATATTATGATTGGTTTATTATAAAATTAGAGTGTAAATGCTGTTTCAGATGCTTTTCAAACAAAAATACTTTTTTGGAATTATTGGCATGAAAATACTTACATTTAAAGTCATACAACATCTGTGTTGGCTGTTTCAATCCAAAAATATCACTCTTTATATATTATGAATATATGTATATTGGCCACTCCTAAATTTATTAACAGCGACTATGATTAAATTAAAACACTCAGGTACGTCATTGCAGCTCTCCTTCACTCTCCGCATTGCTCAGTATCCTGAAGACTTGAGTGGGAACTGTTGCTATAGAAACACACGAACTACAGTACTTTTACTTAATGTGGTGATGGAGCAGAAGCAGCCAAACTCTGACTGTTGTCGGGTGTCTACTGAGACCGTTCATTTCCCAGGCGGTAGGTCCGGGGGTAGGTGGGTGCGTGAGTGGGGTTGCAAGGCTGCATGACAGCTAAATGAGATAAGAGATTTCGGTTCACTTAACCCTAACACATGGCAAAGTGCCTGCTAATATAATTTGCTATAAAAAACTTCCAAAGCTCCCTCTTAATAAAAAGGGTTCTTTGCAGAGCTTAAAAACAGTTTTTATGGTTGGACCATAGCCAACCCCTACTAGTACAATGTACTCCAGTATCCATTTATAAAAGGCTCCAGGTAGCATCAAATCTAGTTGAAATTGTGATGCATCATTTTCATCATCATTACCACATTAAGCACCTTACACAGTACTTTTGTAGGTGAAATTCGTCAAGAGCAGTGAAGAGGCATATGATGAGTATTGTTTCACTACTTCATTCAAGGTGTGGGCACCGTCCATCCCTTAGCCAGACTGAGTCATCTAGGTGCTTAGTGTGATGGTTTAGCTTCTACCATGTATAAGGCATACTGACACAAAGAACTATTTGGATTATTAGAGAACCATATCAGTGTAGTTCAAGTTTTGTTTATTGTACTTCAAATTATGTTTACGTTGTGTTTTTCCAATACAGTTTTTAGGAGATAAAAGTCTTATTTGCATTGTACTGCTAATAGTACTAGAATTAGTGTTAAAAACAGCAGTTCTGTTTTAAAATTGATTTTCAGACCCGGTACAAGAAAATTGCTTTATAAAATAAAGTTTCACCAAACACTCACACAAGCAAGATGAGTTGAGTTGGGTGCAGTTCATTATGCTACATTGGCTGCAAACATAAATTCAGAAAAACTAATGGTTTCACAGCTATTCCAGAACAAATTGCTTTGCTACTGTGAAGTGGACTACTGAAAATTATTTGTATCTCTATACTTGTGATTTAAGTCTTTAAGGACAATAAAATTGCCTTCCTCTGTGTTACAATGCAGTTACACACTCCTTCTCATTTACCCTTAAATGAATTTGTAAGAAAGCCTAACAATACTTAATATGCAGATTCCTTTTTGCAGGCAGATGATAATTACTGCTGCATTTCTGTTGTGCTCTCTGTCACTGCACTCATATATTTTCATCCGTGCATCTGAAAATCGTTATTTTTTTAGTTTTTGTGCACAGCTTTATATTTAGTAACACTGTACAGGCACTGATGGGCGTGTGTCTGCATGTATGTATGTATATGCAGTGCCTGAAAGTATGCATTAACAGCGTCAGCCTGTCATTATGTGCAACAAAGAAATCATCTGCTTTTGTCTTGTAATGTTCTAAAACACAGGCTTTCTGTTCAAGGCCATCTGAAGATAAGCTCCAGTGAGCCGGTGCGAATCTACTCTCTGCTTTATTCAGAATAAAACCCAGTGCCCTTGCATGAATTCAGTGAACAGGGAAAACAGCTTCATTCACTGAATGATAGGCACATTGTTTTAAAATTATACAGTAAAGTTTGCTTTTTATGGTGTTGCTACATTATTTTCTTCATTAATTATCAACTTATTATGGATAGGGTGATAAGAGATAATAACCAGCACACCCTGATACTGTTCAGTAACTTTTAATACACTCCATTAGAAGATTTATTCAGCCAATAAAAACTACATGATTATGCTGCTGCAGTCTACAAATAACAGACTCAGGTTATGCAGATAACAAGGAGGCTGACAAAACAGAAACATGTTGAAAATATTTCCCCGTCATTCAGAGAAGAAGATATAGAGATTAGTTTAATCCATCCTAAAGCAGTGTCTCTCACTCGAAGCTCAAACACATATGCAAATAAACCAGCACATGTATACTGTTAACACACACACAGTCAGACATACATATACTGTATACATACAAACATCAACTTCACTCACACTCTCTCTCCGCTTACAAGAGCAGGGAAGCTGCATGTGTCACGTGGAGTACAATCTCTGAAACACAAGCAGTTTGGCAAGGACACAACGCTGCCAAGTGTTGTTGTGAAGGAGGAGAGTTGTGAAAAAGCTGACAGTGTGACTGACAGCTCTGCAAAAGATGCAAAATAGATGACTAACTGTAGCACCACAAGACATCACAGCAACTCTCATTCATTTGCTGGTCTCTCTGTCTGTTTATCTATTTTCATCTGTTGTATCTGTCTAATTTAGTGGTGGAGGTAAATGAAAAAGGTTGCCAGAAGAAATACTACAAAGGGCTGCCTGTAAGGTGATGAAATACTGTCAAAGTAGAGATGAATTCATTATGGGACATAAAAGCACTCTTTATTAAAAACATGATCATAATAAAGCAACATAATAAACAGTCTTTCTATTGAATGGGATGATACAAATAAGTAAAAGGCTCAGTATAGGGGTGACTACTTGTACATTTTCCTAATATTCAGTGTATTATTTTGTTTCATTTGACTGTTTTGTTTTTTATTTTCAATCCCATTCTGATAGATACTTTAATTAAAAATTCAAACAAATAGTGACTAGTATAGTGAAGACAATATATGTTCTAATAGCTAATTTATGTCTAATTTTTAATGACTCACACTCACTGACCTGCATTTCGCCAAAGGGCCGATATCATTCCCATTACCCTGAGTGGGCTAAACTACTGTCATGTCCACTTCACTGTTCTCACTCGTTGACCTGTGTCCTCAATTCAAGCTTGACTGGATCACTTCATGCGTGTCACAGTTGGGGTTTCACTGCACAAGTGGACGCACACCATGCCTCGTCAGCTCTTGCTACCTGCTTCATGCAGATAGAGGTAATTTAGCTAGCTGGTGAGTTTCCCCCTGAGGACTGAATTTAATGGAACTCGTCAGATTCAAATTGCTTGTTTGTTTTCTTTCTGTATGCTTAACTACAAGTGTTGCAATGTTGGGTACAGTATATACAGGTGCAGGTGATGATAAGTGACATAAAATGGATAGCTTGCTTCTCATTCATCAAAGTAAACACAGACTTTGTCCATAAAATGGGTTAATTATTTTACTGCTGTCAGTGTTGTGTTTGAGTTGTAAACCAGCTTTAATTGCTACAACTGATAAGTACGTTACACACATTCGGATGTTTTTATATCCAGTGTCAACAGCGGCACTTTTAGTGATTTCTAGTGTTTAATAATATGTTTTCAAGACAGTTTGTCAAGCACTGGTCATTTTTACCAAATCTTTTGCATTTTGTGGTGTGCTGTTCTTCACTGGACAAAAAGGACCTGTATCCAGAGAGATCCTATGGCATCAAGGTTTATGGAAACCTATCTGCATATAATGCTGGACTGCCCAGATGTAAAGTATTTTTGTTCTAGAGTTGTTATCTGATAAAACAGGAGCTACTATTTCTATTTTACTTAATGTCTTACTTCTAATTGATTATTCAGTAATTAATGTAACCAAATTTCAGAGAAGACTTCTGCTTGTAGGTCTGACAGTTGCCAAAAAACTGTAGGTATCGAGGTGGAAACCTCCTCATAAATTCTAGATCTCCCACTGGATCCTCTCATTATGAGACATACATTTTCTGGAACTTTCTCTAGCTCAAATCAGCAAAGGGAAATACAATTGATACCCTGTCCAGTGTTCTGGGGAAAGTTAAACTAAGTTGACTTAGTCATACCATTATCAAGATACGGTCTACATCGTTTCTTTTGTGACTGTTCTTTTGTTTCTTCATATTTATGACTGATATTTCTTTTATTTATTTTATCTCTTACCATTAAAGTATATAATTGTGTGTATGCAGTATTTATTTCTTTAT